CGCTGCTCAGCGTGACTACGAGTTACACTCTCTGGACTTCAGCACAGCTTTCTTGTAGGGCAGCCTGCACGAGGAGATCTGGCTACGCCGCCCACCTGGCTTCACTGGGTCGTTTCCTGCAGGTACCCAGTGGAGCCTGCGGCGGCCAGTCTACGGTCTCCGCCAGGCGCCTCGCGAGTGGCACGACACACTGAGGACTACACTTCTGGCTCTTGGGTTTGCTCCTTCCACTGCTGACCCGTCGCTGTTTCTACGCACCGACACCTCGCTGACGCCGTTCTACGTCCTCGTCTACGTCGACGACCTCGTCTTTGCCACTGCTTGTTAACGGGAGTGGAGTGTTGGACCCGCCCTTGCTTGGGCAACACCGACAACTTGGTCGGATGTACGGGAGTAGCAGCCGACCGTCCACAGTGGGAGAGTTGCTCGACAGGCTTCGTCGAGCTGCAGGGGACCACTGTGATGTTGCTGTCGACCAGGGAGCTCGACAGCTGCAACTGACTGGTCTGGGCGACGGGTGGGCCGTCGACCAAGAGGGGCAGTTCGACCGGGAGGTCTACGGAGCAGTTCGTCGACCTGAGAAGTGAGCAGAGGTCGACGAGGGGAGCTCGTCGACAACAGCTGACAGTTCTGGTCGACGGAAGGGGTCCATCGACCAGGGGGTAGCTCGACGGGAGCTGTGGTCGACCAGGGTCACTTGGTGATCGACTAGAGGGACCCGGTGGTCGACCAGAGACACTTGGGGTTGTCCAGGTCGACCGGGTAACCTGCTCGGCGAGTTCTGCGGAGGGACGCAAACGTCGTCGAGGTCGCGATGGTGAAGGCGACTTTGGGTTGGTATCCCGAAGTCGATGTGGCTCGTCTGGCGCAGACAACAGCCGACGGATGCACAACGGTGCAAGTCGGGCCAATCGTCTGCGCGCATCTGCGAGCGTGCGCACTGCTGTCTTTTACGGGGCAACGCTCTGCTGCAGCGTTGGCACACTGTCGACCTGCTGTGTTGGCAGGTCGCCTTTCTGCAGTGCTGGCGTGGCTCCTCTACGCAACGTTGGCATGCGGTCGACCATGCTGTGTTGTCGGTCGACCAGACTAACTGCAGAGTTGCTAGGTGCCTGATGTAGTCATTCTTGTCATTTCTTGTTTAACAATTATGTAATCCCAACTTTGCTAGTGGAAACTCTTGCCAATTTCTCCCGTGATTGTGCAAGCACTAAGGAACTAGGCAAAGCTACGATCACTCATAGTAGTTCGTGCCAACCCCGTAGTCTAGCTCACTACCGTTGTAGAGTGTATCTCCGCACTGCTGACACGGAGGCACTGACCCTTGTGAAGTCGGAGCTGCAGAAGAGACACACCTTCATTGACATGGGTGAACAGCGCAGCTATCTTGGCTTGCAGATCACCCGGGACAGAGCACGGCGCACCATCACCCTAACTCAGTCACACATGGTCCACCAAGTCCTTCAGCGCTTCGGCTTCCAGTTCTCCTCGCCACAGCCCACTCCTCTGTCTACCGGCCACTTGCTCTCAGCTGGACCTTCGGACGAGTCCGTAGAGCCGAGTGGTCCGTACCTAGAGCTTGTGGGTTGCCTCATGTACCTAATGACGTGCACACGACCTGACCTCGCGTACCCTCTCAGCCTTCTGGCTCACTATGTGGCTTTCGGTAGGCACCGAAAAGTGCACTGGGATGCTGCGAAGAGGGTACTGCGTTACTTGTGCAGTACGTCGGGCATGGGGCTCGTGCTTGGAGGACGGGGTCCTGTTGTCCTCACAGGTCACGCTGACGCCTCTTGGGTTGACGACTCAGCTACGCAGCGGTCGTCACAGGGTTACACCTTCAACCTTGGTTCCGGCTCTGTTTCCTGGCGGTCTACCCGCTCGTCTTTGGTTCTCAGCTCCAGTTGTGAGGCTGAGATCTACGCCGGGGCCATGGCTGCACAGGAGCTACGCTGGCTCACCTACCTGCTGACTGACTTGGGAGAGCAGCCTCGTTCGCCTCCAATTCTGTACGTAGACAACAAGGCCATGATTGCCTTGTGTCAGGAGGACAGGCTGGAGCACAGAACGAAGCACATCGCTCTGCGATACTTCTTTGCTCGAGAGTTGCAGCAGCATGGCCAGCTTCGTCTTGCGTACGTGGCCACTAGGGCCAACACTGCTGATATATTCACCAAGGCACTTCCGTCTGGTGATCATCAGCGCTTCTCTACTGTGTTAGGCCTTGTGCCTACTTTGCCTCACTTGCTTACTGCGTGACTTTGCTTGTACTGTGATCTATATATATACCTGCATGCTTGCACTTGCTAGGGTATGATCACTGTATTGTTTGTTCTCTTTTATATAACTCAGCATGTGAAAGGCCTTGTGGCCCTTTGCTTTTGCTCGGACTGTGTGGTGACTTTGTGATCCACCCTGAGCTTGCTTTGCTTTCTTGACTGGTCTTGTGACCACTTGTTCTCCCCCACTTTGCCTATGGGGGTGTGTCAGAATGTTATAGCGCTTACATTTGTGTAGGCTATAGTGGGGTAGCCCATGAGGGGTACAACACAATTAGGGTTAGTACTTGTACCCAACTCTTTCATAGTTCATTCATTCTTGTTCGTTAGTTTGACACTTCCAGATCTAGTGTTCGAGGTTCACAACTAGTTATGCTACTGCTACTACTATATGGGAACGGTTTAGGTGTGGACTTATTGCCGGGAGCTAGGCATCATGGCGTCTAATCCCGGACTGAAAGCCCTCCGCAAATCGCATTCTGTTCCAGATTTCGATCCCCGTCTAGAAACGCCCAACGATCGGGCACCACTCGAGAAAGGCGGGCTTTACTCATCGCGATATAAGTGTGTCGAGGCTTTGCAGGAGTATGCACTCCAGCACCACTTTGGTTATCATGTGCTGGCGACGAAGAAGCGATATGTGGTGGTTGAGTGTAAGGCCGTTGCTGATAAATTGCCGGACGTGGAATGTTTTTGGATACTGGCGCATTACGACCCTCGCCCCATCGGAGACCCATAACTTCCCGGCACCGGCGCGGTACGAGTACGCCTTAGCAACCGCTAACAAGATACCAGTGTTACTGCGAGCGTATGGCAACATGGTGCGCGCCAAGCTCTTCATTGCACCCATTCAGCTAATGAAACTCATGGAGGGTAAAGGGGGGGTCGAAATCCATTACTGGCAAGCATGGCGCCTGAGAGAACACATCATCAAGGAGATGTTCGGGGATTGGAAGGAGTCCTTCCGGCATGTGCCACTGCTAGTCGACCATTTCAAGGTGATTGACCCTGAGGTGAAGGTGCATCTGGATACCCTTGGTAGACTATTTCACCGTTTTTTTGTCCTGCCTTCTGCTGCCCAGCATGCGCTCAGATTCTGCCGTCCAGTCATTGCATTTGACGGGAACCACCTCATCAGCGTGCAGAAGGCAGTTTTGCTTGTCGCGGTTGTTAACGGGAGTGGAGTGTTGGCCCCGCCCTCGCTTGGGCAACGCCAACGACTTGGTCAGATGTACGGGAGTAGTAGCCGACCGTCCACAGTGGGAGAGCTGCTCGACAGGCTTCGTTGAGCTGCAGGGGTCTGCTGTGATGTTGCTGTCGACCAGGGAGCTCGACAGCTGCAACTGACTGGACTGGGCAACGGGTGGGCCGTTGACCAGGAGGGGCAGTTCGACCGGGAGGTCGACGGAGCAGTCCGTCGACCTGAGACGTGAGCAGCGGTCGACGAGGGGAGCTCGTCGACAACAGCTGACAGTTCTGGTCGACGGAAGGGGTCCGTAGACCAGGGGGTAGCTCGAAGGGAGCTGTGGTCGACCAGGGGCACCTGGTGGTCGACTAGAGGGACTTGGTGGTCGACCAGAGTACCTGGGGTTTTCCAGGTCGACCAGGTAACCTGCTCGGCGAGTTCTGCGGAGGCACGCAAACGTCGTCGAGGTCGCGATGGCGAAGGCGACTTCGGGTTGGTATCCCGAAGTCGATGTGGCTCGTCAGGCGCAGATAACAGCTGACGAATGCACAACGGTGCAAGTCGGGCCAATCATCTGCGCGCATCTGCGAGTGTGCGCACCACTGTCTTCTACGGGGCAATGCTGGACAGCCGCTCTGCTGCAGCGTTGGCACACCGTCGACCTGCTGTGTTGGCAGGTCGCCTCTCTGCAGTGCTGGCGCGGCTCCTCTACGCAACGCTGGCAGGCGGTCGACCATGCTGCGCTGTCAGTCGACCAGGCTAGCTGCAGAGTTGCTAGGTGCCTGATGTAGTCATTATTGTCATTGCTTGTTTAACAATTGTGTAATTCCAACTTTGCTAGTGGAAACTCTTGCCAATTTCTCCCGTGATTGTGCAAGCACTAAGGAACTAGGCAAAGCTTCGATCACTCCCAGTAGTTTGTGCCAACCCCCGTAGTCTAGCTCACTACCGTTGTAGAGTGAATCTCCGCAGCGGTTACGCTCGATGGGAACCAGAAATTTCTACTGCTGGCATGGGGGTTGGTGGAGTCGGAGAACAAGGAGTCCTGGACGTGGTTTTTGAAGCACTTCATTGATGGGTTTCTTGAGTGGACGCAGCGGAAGCACGCCTCGATCATCAGCGACCGGGATAAGGGATTGGTTCCCGCAGATCGAGAGGTGATGCCAAGTCACATCCCTCATTACTTCTGTGCATGGCATCTCGAGCAGAACCTGAGGCGATTCAAAGAAGCGGCGCATAAATACTTATGGAGGTTGGTGAAGTGCCGGAGCTTGATAAAGTGGGTCGCCCTGGTTTTGGCATGCAGACACCTCTTCCCGGAAATGGCACTGTACCTTTTTGGCCCAGAGCAACCACCCGCACAGAGCGTCCCCCCGCCGTCTGATGCTCAGCCCCCCCCACATGCGCGTTCAACGTACGAAGGCACGAGAGCATACGTTTTTTAAGCTGGCCGCCAAGGACGACGAGATGCCAGAAACGCCCGCCACGGACCTCCAGCTGGTGGGTTTAGCAGCCCCAATCAGCCGCAAAGTGGCATGGGCGTCCCGGATGCCAACACAGCCCGGCTCAACCAGGCTGGTGGCGGAATGGCAGGGCGGGGTGGCATCAATGCTCCCAACGCTCACGTCTTTGGGCGGACCTTTAGAGGATGGGCCGGCAGCACGGGGGTTCAAGGTGGCTCAGAGAGTGATTCGTCTGGGGATGATGGTCCCGGTGGTACATGGGGTGGAGCACGTACGCGCGGCATGCCTGGCACGGACGCTTTTCAGTTTGGGGGGGCTGGTTTGGGTGTCGGAAGTGGGACAGGGTTCGGGGTGTTTGGGCCAAATGGCAGCAGAGGCTTTGGCAATGGCCGGAGTGAAGGGGGCTCAAGGTCTGCTGCAACAAGAACACGGTTCGGGTTGGAGAGTGGACAGGGTGTCGGTGGTAGTAGCAGCGCGCATGGTGGCGGTGATGGAGGCCCCATTGCAGGGGTTGAGATGCCTTATTCTAGCAGACAGCGCCATGGGGAGAACGAGCTAGGAGGCACTGGCATCGACGGTTTGGCTCCCGGCGGCGTTGGGTTGGGAACGCAGGAGAGTACGGTTGGAGTTGTAGGGGTGGGCATGGGAATGGGAGCCGGAGTCGGTTTAGGGGGGTTCGGCATGGGATCTGGATGGTGATGGAGGCCCCATTGCAGGAGGTGCCAGCTTGGGGCGGGGGTCTCTAGCTGGATGGTGGCGGTGATGGAGGCCCCATTGCAGGGGTTGAGATGCCATATTCTAGCGGAGGCCAGCTTGGGGCGGGGGTCTCTTGCTGGATTCGCTGGGGTTGGTAATGGGACGCAAATGGAGGGCGCAAGCACCGGACAGGGGGCTGGTGAAATGTTTGGAGGGTTAGGGGCGCGACATGAGTATGGAGTGGGAGGGGGAGGGGGTGGAACAGGGACGAGACGTGCGGGCCGTGGGACAGGATCTGGAGGAGTTATGGGAGGTGTTGGCATGTGTGTGGGGACTGCAGCAGGAATGGGGGGCTTTGGCTTGGGTATGGGTGCTCTAGCGGGATCTGGTGGGCTGGGCATGGGTGTGGGTGTTGGCCGTGGGTTGGGATCTGGAGCAAGAGTTGGAGGGGTGGGCATGGGGGCGGGGACTCCAGAAGGCATGGGTGGCTTTGGCATGGGGCCATGGTTCGCTACAAACATAGGGAGTGGCTTTCGTTATGGCAGCGTGGGCATGGGCCTTGGAAGCGGGGGACGCGACCGCGATGAGGGTGTAGGTGCCAGGGTGGGTGTCGGTGCTGGGAGTACGGGACCTGCTAGATGGTTTGCCGGAGAAGGTGGTGGTGGTGGATCACCGATTGGGGGTGTGGGCGCAGATGGACGAATCCTCGTCGCACCAGGTGCCACACGAATGGGTGGACCGTTCAACATGGGTGCAATTTATAGGAGAGCACGTGAGGGTTACCGTGCAGACACTATCACGAAGTCTCTGCGCAACCGCAGACCACGGAGCAGCTAGGTTGGCGCCATTCGGCGCTGGATGTCGATGATAACTTGCATGCCGGCCTCACAGAGATCCTGGCTCTCCCATGGCCGGATACCGGGGCGCATGGCGCTGCCCTTCATGCTGGAGAGGACGAACCGGGATACGAGGATGAGGAGGACGTGCCCGGAGAAGGAGTTCCAGGAGTGGGTGATGGCGAGGATGAGGAGGAGGGGGGCATTCATGTGCAGACCGGGTTCCATCGCAACAGACAGGGATCACGGTACAGAATAGACGGCATTCAGTTATTGCACTGGGCCAGGCTTTTTGCCACAACCCGCAGGTTTGGGATTTACACGAGCAACGCCGCGGAGTCGCTCAACGGAGCAGTAAAAAAAATCAGGATGCTGCCCCTTACTTGGCTGCTGGCGTTTTTGTGGGACTGGTTTAGGGATAAGTGGTATGAGCATCGCGCTGAAGCTTGGCAAGGAGACGATCATCTAACAGCAGCAGCAGCAAAGCGAATGGCGATCAAGCTCAGACGTTGTCAGGAGTACTTCTTCCTGGGAGGAACTGATGATGCTGGGACTGTCAGTAGATCTGCACTGTGGATGCCCGATTGATCATAGGGGGGTTACAGGCGCGTTTGCCTGGGGGGTTATGGGCGCACTCTGACCCGCTACTTAACAAGCCCTTTTATCCCAATGGTCTAGTGGTTGGGATTCTGACATGGTATCAGAGCGGTCTCGGGTTCGAATCCCGGTGTATGCACATGTAGGCCGTTGCCGCTGTGCTCAGTCCTGGGCCTCCCAGTGTGGGGGGTGTCAGTGGATCTGCACTGTGGATGCCCGATTGATCCTAGGGGGGTTACAGGCGCGTTCGCCTGGGGGGTTAAGGGCGCACAAACCCGCTATACAAACAAGCCCTTTATCCCAGTGGTCTAGTGACTGGGATTCTGACATGGTGTCAGAGTGGTCTCGGGTTCAAATCCCGGTATATGCACATGTAGGCCGTTGCTGCTGTGCTCAGTCCTGGGCCTCCCAGTGTGGGGGGGTGTCAGTAGATTTGCACTGTGGATGTCCGATTGATCCTAGGGGGGATACAGGCGCGTTCGCCTGGGGGGTTATGGGCGCACTCTGACCCGCTACTTAAAAAGCCCTTTTATCCCAATGGTCTAGTGGTTGGGATTCTGACAGGGACGATCCAGACTCGTGGAGGCGAGAACGATGTGGAATGGAGGAGCTACAACGTCAACCTGGTTACTCGTTCATGTGAGTGTGGGAACTGGCAGGAGTACAAGTTTCGTTGTGCACATGCTGTGGCGCTGTGTGTCAAGAAGAAGAGGTGCCCTGAGATTCTGGTATCTCACTACTACACCATGAGCAATCAGCGCAAGATGTATGCCCCGGACGTTTGGGGAACATGCGTGGACAGGCTGGTACGTGAGGCCCCTCCTGCACCAGCAGGTGTGTGTGTCGCACCACACCTGATTGAAACAAGGGTTGGTCGCCCAGAGAACAACGAGCGTATGGAGGCTAGAGGCCAGGGTCACAAGTGCGGGAGGTGCGAGCTATACGGTCACAACAGGAGCACATGCAAGTATAAGTTTGGGGGTTATGGGTTTGGGCAGTGTTTTGGAATAGGTGCAGGTCGTGGTGAGGGTAGAGGTGCCGGGCGTGGTGCGGGGCATGGAGCTGGAACTGGTCCAGGGCATGGAGCTGGGAGTGCTGCTGTGAGCGGAGCGGAGACATTTGCTGGGACAGGGGATGGGCTCGGTGCTGGAAGAGGTGCTGGGAGTGTGGCTGGTCGTGGCGACATGAGAGGAGCTGGGTGTGGTGCTGGGAGAGGAGCTCGGGGTGGTGCTGGGAGAGGTGGTAGGCGAGGTGCCGGGAGAGGTGCAGGGAGAGGTGCTGGGAGAGGTGATGGGAGAGGTGCTGAGAGAGGTGCTGCTGTGAGTGGTGCTGGGAGTGGTGCTGTTGAGACTAGTGCCGGGCGTGGTGCTGCTGAGAGAGGTGCTGCTGGGCATGGTGCTGGGAGTGGCCCTGCTGGGCATGGTGCTGGGCGTGGTGCTATTGGGCAGTGTGCTGGGAGTGGTGCTGGGAGTGGTGCTGCTGGGAGTGGTCAGCGGTGTTTGGAGCTGGGAGTGGTGCTGCTGGGGGTGGTGCTGGTCATGGATCTGGGAGTTGTGCGGGATTGGGTAAGACGTGTTGTTCCTGTTGTGTAGGACCTTGTGAACCGTTCTTTATTTTAAATTATAGGGATTATTGCACACATAACTGCATGTTGTTTGTGAGCAATCCTACATTCAGAAAACATGCATCTGGATGCAGCAAAGTGATGTGAGTATGATAGTGATAGGGTGATGGGACTGTCTGAGTTACACATGGTGATTGTAAAACTCTAGTGCCAGTTAATACCCGTCATATCCCACGTTTAGGGTCCGTGAGGTGCCCGTCTAGATTCCCGTGCAAACTGATAAAAACCCACGAAACCTTCGTCAACGGTCCGCGAATTCCCCGTTTGTTTCCCGGGATGAACAGTTAAACCACCCGTCAAACCCCCGTCACGGCTACGTTCGGCGACAGTGTGCATTCCCGAGCGGGCCTCGTAACCTCCCGTCAAATCTCTGTCAAAGGGCAGTGGTGCGCCTCACCCTGTCCACGAGTAGCCCGGGTAACCATTCGTGAATCTCTCGTCAAAGCCTTAACGGGAGTGTGACGGGGTTATGACGGGACCGTCGTGCTTGCATCTATGAAGCATGCGTGGGTCTCACGGACCCGTGAGACGGCCTTAACGGGAGTGTGATGGGGTTATGACGGGACCATCGCGCTTGCATCTATGAAGCATGCGTGGGAGGTGGAGTTGACGGGACATTTACGTGCGACACTTCAAAGGATTCGAACTCTGCATAGATCGGGTCAGTGCATGCACAGAGTTCTGACGCGAGCGCCAACTGGTATGCGCTAATTGGCTAAAAAAACAACATCAATGGCGCCAAATGACGAACACATGCTGTCCCGCTGACACCCTAAACCAGATATTTCAATGGCCGCTTACATCAGTGTAACGACAACTGCACCGCGCAATCATTACACACCGACTAAAGAGACAAAATCGCATTAATACATTACATGTGGACCAATCCTAACGGCACGCATGGATTCATGGAAAACCATGCCTAGTATGAGAACGTAACTTCGAACAGAAATATCCCATCACTCTTTCCTGAAGAAGTATAAACATATCGCGAAAGCGCATGTGGAACTCCACGGGATTGAGAGATATCATAAAGGGGGGAACGTGGTGAGGGTACTCCACTGGATTGAGGAAAATTCGAAAACGGACACGTCGCGCAATTATTTCCAAACTGGCACAGTTTGCCATTTCTTTTGGTTGTAATTCAGGTCTTGGAGTTGTGAGAATAATGAGTGGAATGATGATGAACTAGGAAACAGGTGGGGTACAAGTAGCAAACACAAAAGTGATGTACCCTCTAAGGACTACCCCACTACAGCCTAAACAGACTATAGCATATATAAGTTTGACACACCCCCATAGGCAAAGTGGGGGAGAACAAGGGGTCAAAAGACCAGTCAAGAAGGCAAAGCAAGCTCAGGGTGGATCACAAAGTCACCACGCAGTCTGAGCACAAGCAAAGGGCCACAAGGCCAGTTCACATGCAGGGTTATATAAAGGAAAGCAAATAGTACAGTGAACACAACCTAGCAAGTGTAAGCATGCAGGTATAAGTATATAGAGTACAGTACAAGCAGAGTCAAGAAGTCAGCAAGTGAGGCACAGTAGGTACAAGGCCTAACACAGTACAGAAATGCTGATGATCACAAGGCTGAAGTGCCTTGGTGAAAACATCAGCAGTGTTGGCCTGAGAGGCCACGTAAGCAAGACGAAGCTGGCCACGCTGCTGCAACTCTCGAGCAAGGAAGTAGCGCAGAGCAATGTGCTTCGTTCTGTGCTCCAATCTGTGCTCTTGACATAAGGCCAGCATGGCCTTGTTGTCGACGTACAGAACTGGAGGAGAACGAGGCGCCTCTCCCAAGTCGCTCAGCAGGTAGGTGAGCCAGCGTAACTCCTGTGCAGCCATGGCCCCAGCGTAGATCTCAGCCTCACAACTGGAGCTGAGAACAGAAGAAGAACGGGTAGACCGCCAAGAGACAGAACCGGAGCCAAGACTGAAGGTGTAACCCTGTGACGACCGCTGCGTAGCCAAGTCGTCAACCCAGGAGGCGTCAGCGTGACCAGTGAGGACAACTCGAGCCCATCCTCCAAGCACGAGCCCCATGCCCGATGTACTGCACAAGTATCGCAACACCCTCTTCGCAGCATCCCAGTGCACCTTTCGGTGCCTGCCGGGAGCCACGTAGCGAGCCAGAAGGCTGAGAGGGTATGCGAGGTCAGGTCGTGTGCAAGTCATCAGGTACATGAGGCAGCCCACAAGCTCTGGATACGGGCCACACGGCTCTACGGACTCGTCCGAAGGTGGAGCTGAGAGCGAGTGACCGGTAGGCAGAGGAGTGGACTGTGGCGAGGAGTACGTGAAGCCGAAGCGCTGAAGGACCTGCTGCACCATGTGTGACTGAGTCAAGGTAATGGTGCGCTGTGCTCTGTCCCGGATGATCCGCAAGCCAAGATAGCTTGTCAGCTCACCCAGGTCTGTGCACGTGTGTCTCTTCTGCAGCTCGGACTTCACGTGGGCGAGTGCCTCAGTGTCAGCAGTAGCAAAGACGAGGTCGTATACGTACACGAGAACGTAGAATGGCGGCAGAGTGGTGTCAGTGCATAGAAACAGAGAAGGGTCAGCAGTGGAAGGAGCAAAACCAAGAGAAGCAAGAGTCGTCCTGAGTGTGTCGTGCCACTCACGGGGTGCCTGGCGGAGACCGTAGACTGGCCGCCGGAGGCTCCACTGGGTACCAGCAGGAAACGACCCAGTGAAGCCAGGTGGGCGGCGCAGCCAGATCTCCTCGTGCAGGCTGCCCTGCAGGAAGGCTGTGCTGAAGTCAAGCGAGTGGAGCTCGTAGTCACGCTGAGCAGCTACGTGCAGCAGTACCCAAAGAGTGGTCATCTTCGGGGTAGGGGAGAAGGTCTGAAAGAAGTCAAATCCCTGTCGCTGACTGAAGCCACGAGCAACGTAACGCGCCTTGAAGACAGGCGGAGAACCCGACGGCCGCTTCACCCTGAAGATCCACATGGCACTGACGATGTTCACCCCAGGCGAGGGAACCTCGTCAACGTAGGTGCCAATGGACTTCCAGGAAGCCATCTCGGCGTCCATGGCTGCCTGCCACTGAGAGGAGTAGGGACCCTCTATCGCCTCTGCGTAAGAGCGCGGGGTCGGGATGTCTGGTGCATCTGGGTCTCCCTCAGGGGCAAGCAGCATGGACACGAGATGAGGTACAGAAGCAGCAAAGCACTCAAACTCCTCCTGTCTGTCCTCAAGAACGTCCGTGCCAAGAGCACACTCACCCCCGACGGACGGAGGACAGACAGACACAGACGCAGACTCAGCAACAAGGCTAGTGGCGAAGTCTAGGCGACAGGTGGCAGCAAAGTCAACAAGCTCAGCAACGAGGGCAGACGCAGCAGTGGACTCAAACAAAGGGTCAGTGACAGCAGTGGCCAGAAAGCGCGTGACAGCTGGACAAGCAGCACGGAGGGAGTCAGACGCAGGGTCCGGACCGGCAGGAAGAGAGGACGCAGGAGGAGAGGGCAGAGGGACACGCTGTGGAGCAGTGGAAGGACGCAGAGTCATAGAGTGAGTGCCAGGGACAGGAGGAGGACGCGGACGCAAAACACGACCAGCGCGAACAGAACGGACAGGCGACGTAGAACAAGACACAGGCGACACAGGACGCGACTCAGGCTTACGACGCTCCGTAAGACCTCTAGTCGGTCCAGAGTAAGGAGAAGGACCAGGCAGCGGAGAGGCTGGCTGTAACTGCAACTGAGACGGGACAGGCGGTGGACTCAGGGAAGGAGGAGGAGGAGGACCAGGAGAAGGCGGGGAGCCAAGAACCTGCTGAAGAAGCGGAACGTAGTACGGCCGCGGCCACACAGCAGAGACAGAACCGGTACCCTCAGCCCTAGGGTCTCCAGTCCCAGCAGCACCTCCAGCAGCTCCAGCACCAGCAGCACCTCCAGCACCAGCAGCACCTCCAGCAGCACCAGCACCAGCAGTGCCTCCAGCAGCACCAGCACTAGCAGCACCTCCAGAAGCTCCAGCAGCACCTCCAGCACCAGTAGCACCTCCAGCAGCACCAGCACCAGCAGCACCTCCAGCACCAGCAGCACCTCTAGCAGCACCAGCACCAGCAGTGCCTCTAGCAGCACCAGCACCAGCAGCACCTCCAGAAGCTCCAGCAGCACCTCCAGCACCAGTAGCACCTCTAGCAGCACCTCCAGCACCAGCAGCACCTCCAGCTCCAGCAGCACCACCAGAAGCACCAGCAGCACCTCCAGAAGCTCCAGCAGCACCTCCAGAAGCTCCAGCAACACCACGACAGCGCCGAGAGTACCACTCACGAAGCTGCTGTGGAGAGAGAGGCTCCCGCCGCGGCGGGACACCGAGAGCACCTCCGGACGCAGCACGCGCAGGCTCAGCACCTCCAGACACAGCACCCTCAGGCTCCACACGCCCAGGCTCAGCACCCCCAGACTCAGCACCCCCAGACTCAGCACCCCCAGTCTCAGCACCCGCAGGCTCAGCACCCCTAGCAGCACCTGAGTCGACAGCTACCTCGACCGGCTCGGCAGGGTCTACCTGGGACACACCTGAGGGGGCAGGACCCGGGGGGGAGGGGGTCTACCGGGGGAGTACCTGGTGCGAGGAAGAGCGGCGGGGGGGGGGGGGGGAGAGGCAGTGCGGTAGGGAAAAAGACGGTAGTACGACACCAACTCGTCAAACGTGACGTCCTGAGAGGACAGTACACGACGCGAGGTGGGGTGGTAGAACTGCCACCCGGGTGCGTCAGGAGGGAAGCCAAGGAAGACACAGGGAACGGCACGAGAGTGTTATAGTCACAATAGGCTTGAATGTGCCTAAAACGAAAGATAGAGAGCACAGACGGATTTCTGCACAGCGGCTTCAAACGTTGATAGCGTTCTGCTCACAGCTGCAAATGACTTGATTCAAATTGGATCTGGAGCGTCTTTACGTGGTCTACAATTATCAATTTAGATTGCACGATTTGATAAAGAATTGACGACACA